CTGATATCTAACAGGTGTTTGATGGCCTTAGCCTTAAGGGCCTGTTTGGCCGGATCTGCAAAGGAGGCGAAGGTACAGAACCTATTCGGGGGCTGCGAGCGGAACTCCAGCTGTAGCCCGAGCTTAACAGTCTGGAGGACTCACTCGTCTGAAGTGACGTGCTCCCAGGCATCCGCAAAAAGGGAGAGCCGACCGCCGATGGGGTGATCCGCGAACGAATCACTGGAACCTGCGGAATGGGCGACAACCCCCTCCTCGAAAGGGCCGCTTACTCTGCTGCTGGCCCCTAAATCTATCTTTTGGAAACTGCCTATACCCTTGTCTATGAAACCTGGGGGTCTGGTACCTCTGATTCTGGGCATTCGTGTCAGGTGGGTGGTAAGATGTTCTCCTGGGGTAAGGAGCATGTCGGTCATCTGGTCGTAGCTGGGAAGACCTTCTGCTTATTTTTGTCCTCCACCAGGATAGGATCCAGCGAGGCACCAAAAAGCTTGTCCCCGGCGTAGTCCGCTCCTGCCAGGTGCCACTTAGCCCGGGACTCCGCTTGCCAGTGGCACAACCACATCAGGCGTCTGGACGCTACAGAGGATGGCAAGGCTCGAGAAGCATACTTAACTGTATCTAGCGTGGCGTCTGCTGAGAACTGCGTGGCTGCCAGCACCTTAGAGATGTCCTGCAGCAGTCGTACCTCCGTGGCCAGGGTCCTGTCTCTCAGCTGTTCCAGCCACAGCACTGTTGACCTATTGAAAAAGGATGCAGAAGCGGCTGCCCTAATGGCCCAGGTTATTGCTTGGAATGACTTGCGCAAAATGATGTCCACCTTCTTATCTTCTGCCTTAAGGCAGTTGGCGATGTCTCCAGTCACCATGGCCAAAGCTGAAGCTAGGGAACCTGAAGAGCTTGGGCTAAGGTAGAATTGAGATCATAGAACCTCCGCTCATTGCCCCCCGGGTTGGGAAATGATCCTGGATTAACCCACTGGGATTTAAGCACTTCTAGGAACATCTCTGGAGTGGGGATTTCCTCCTTCTCCACCGGTGGTCTATGGAAGGGCCCCTTCTTGTTACCCCCGCTAGTGCTTGGCGTGGCAGTCGCAGGCTTGGGATCTGGAGGGGTATCCAGGTCTGCTGTGGCCCTGGCCTTATGAAGTAAGGAGCTAAACAAGGAGGGGGGAAAGAGGCCAGCGATGTTGGGGGCCTCAGGGACCTGGGCGTCCTCATCCTCAGAAAACCCCACCTCCTTCAACTCCCCTTCCTCTAAATCTGAAGCTTCACTGGCAGTGGAGGGGGAGGAAGACCTGGGCTCTCTGGTAGCAGAGACCCTGGAATGATTCTGGTGACCCCTGGGCTGGTCCCGGGAAGACCTATGTTTAGAACCCTGGGACTGATGTTTCATCCCAGAAGCAATCCCTTGGGCTATGGCCCTGGCTAAAACGTCCTGAAAGCTATCAGGGAGCTCTGGAAGGGAGGGACGGAGCTCTGGAGGCTGTAGGAAGTCCCTTGGCTCTGGGGATTCCGGTGCCAGCCTGTGCCTTGCAGGGCTGGGAGCCCTGCACCCAAAGGGATCACCCCTAGTCTCAGATGGGTGGGCAGGTGAAAGGGGGGGGGCAATAGAGAGCTGTGTCCTCTGCCTGAGCCCCCTGGGGAACCAGGGGATGCCACCCGAGCCTCTATCAGAGCAGGAGGCCTGTGGGGGGAGCGAGATCTGGAAGGAGAGGGGCTGATGGTGGCCCTGAACCTTCTAGTGGAGGCCCTGGTAACTCGAGCCTCCTTCCCAGAGGTTCCCTTCCTATGGGCCCTGGGGTTGCCCTTCTTGCTGGGGGACCTCCCTCTGGTGACTGGGGGAACCCCCCTGGAGGTGCCCTCACCCGGATCCGAATCCCCTGGGGACCTGGGCCTGGCATCCCTGCTCCTCACCACCTCCGCCATTACTCACAGTTATGCTGCTCAGCAACCTCCTCTCTGCTAGCCAGCCTTGTTCTTGTGCGCGATGGCTCCAAGCTCGCACTTCTTCTCTGCTGCCGATCCGCAGCTGAGTTGCCAGCAGGCACCGATCCACGGCCCTCCCCGGATTGCCAGCAGATTTGGGGCCTTCCGAAGCCTCTTCCAGCTTCGGCGGTGCTTTTAGAGCGCTCTCGGCGTCCGTAGGAGATCACCAGTCACGCGCTCACCCACATGCCCAAAATGGCGATGGGCAAGATGGCGGCCGCCGATCTGCGACCCGATCTCCTCCTGCAGCTGGGGAGCGTTGGGGCGATCCCTGCCAGATCCCTGGTCCTTCGATGGTCTTCGCAGGTCTCCTGGAAGCCGGGCAGCCAATCCAAGCGTTCGGTGCGGTGCAGAGGCTTCCTCCCCCTTTTCGTGACCGTCCAGCTGCCTGAGGCACACGCACTAGCAAGCAGCAAGGCTTAAATGCTAGCAGCACTGAGCATGGCAGAGGAGGGATGCAGCAATTCAATTTAAAAGGTAAAAAATGGTAGAATCCTGTAAAAAAACTCCTAAGTCTTCGAAGTGAGGGAGAGTCAGGTAAAACACTCCTTCTGGGCCGGAGACTGAGGT